CTCCTGCCGTCTTTGTGTTTCTCTCCCCACAGCCTTCTCTGTTCGGTGTGCCTCTCTGTTCTACAGCAAACATGTCAGCCTCTCGCCTGGTCCCCCCCCCACCCCCCCGCACAGCTGGAAATGTCATCTCCCTTTTCTTTGATTTCTTTTGTCCTCCCTTTCTTCTCCTGGTATTATCTGGCTCAGTCTCGCTTTCTCTTTGACAATATTACTTCTGGGACAGGATACGCCTCCACACCAGCCTGCCTTTGCCTCCTTATTCTTCTCTGGTGATTTTGGTGCTTCAGCGAGTCTGGGTGTGTGTGTCTGTGTGTGTGTGTGTGTATTATCATCTGGCTGGCTGTTGTGTTATCTGGTCCTGTCAGGTGTTGGTTCAAACCTTTTCACGGGTGAGAAAGGTGGGCTGGTCAACTGCCAGCACGGCCCCCACTCTGGAGTGGGATGAATATTTTTTGGCTGCAGATTTGAGACATTTGGCTCCATTTTCTTTTAGATCACTTTCTTTATCTTCCTTTAAAATTAAATCAGTGGACAGACTGTGGTGAGGATACCGAGGGGCGCTAAATATATCACAGCGCTGCCTGCTCTCAGGAGCTGTACACCTGCCAAAACCCTGACGTTAAACCTCGGTTTTGAAGACTTATCCACCCCAACTCAATTGTCACGTGGAAATTCTTGCTGTAAATTTGCATTCTGGGAGAAGAGGAAGGTTTAATTTGGTACTTGGTCCTTGGAGAGCCAACAATTTTTAGTAGATCTGGTCTGTGGACCAGTGGTGTATACGTGTTTAATTTGCATTACTGCCACCTAGAGGGCTGACTTTGGAGCTGTGTATGTGGAATAGAGTGGAGGACAGATGAGAGAGAGAGAGAGAGAGGGAGAGAGAGAGATTAATGTGGACATGGTTTGTGGCATTTGGCCTTTTGTTCTCTGTGATGGACTTGTTCCAAACCCTTGAGACACACAAATGAACTGTGACATCAGTGACAGCTGGACATGTTGCCCACCACTGCCCTCACTGCACACACACACACATGCATTCATACAGATTTAATTTGAACTCTTTTGTCCATGTTGAAATACTACATATTATAAAACCATATTTCCCTCTTTATGCTGCGTGAATATGAAGATAAATGACATCATCACCTCGTTGTTTCCTTTAATAAACACGTTCGTAGCCTTTTTCATCGCATCAACATCTTCCACGTGTCATACGGCGTCGTGCAGTGACCTCTTTCAGCTCCAGCTCCAGGCACAGATGTTGACTTCCTGTACACATCCTGACATTGTTTGTCCACATGTAAGGTTTATGTTGCTCTACGTCTGTAGGCTTTTCTGTGTTTCTGTCTCTTTGCGTTGCTTCCCCCGAAACGTGTCTTATTATCGGTGTCAAAACGAATCAAGGGAACTCACCTTTATCGTCTCGTTAGTCATCAGTTGTTGAGTTGAAAATGAAATGAGTCACCGTGAAGTGGATTTGTCTATTGATCTACTTGTGAAGAAGCTGCTGCTCTGACCATTAGTCACAGTGTGTCAACACGCTGGTCAAAGTGGAATGCGTTTTTAAACGTTGTCCTGCGGTAGCTGTGAGTGTTCTGGAAGTCTTCACTCCTCGTTGTTTGCGTTGCATTACACTGAGCTTCGACCTCTTGTGCCTGTGCATGTGATTTTTGTTGATGTAGAAATAATTGGCCTTTTGACAGCGTGCAGCTCAGAGGAGGACGGAAGAGGCTTTACTGTGACCTTGGATGATGTCACACACCTCAGGGCTAAAAAACACACGGGTCACTCTGCTCCAAGGCCTGGATAAACTGAGCTTATCTTGCTAAGTACTGCCACCTACTGGGTTGTTTTTCACAGCTAATTATTATCAGCTAAAAACAACAGACACTTGATTTTCTTGAAAGTTTTATTCAAACAGGTCACACGTTCCAATGTGTTATGAGGGCCTACAAACGTTTCGTTCAACTTTACTTTTACAGGATTTAGTGTGTTTGAAAATTGTTTTTTTTTCTTGAAAAAAAGGAATCTCTTGAGTCACAGAGCGTGGCGTCTGATTGGCCAGTCTGCTTTCATGTCTATAAAAAGCCCTTATATACGCTGAGTAGTCCACAAATTTCACAGCAGACAAGTGGTACAGCATACATATTTACACAAGTAGTACACACTGTAGCAATACAAACAGCCTATCGCTGCCCTTTACAAATGATCATGAAACAAAGCATGACTTTTTTTTTTCAATTTTATCCTTTTTTTTAAGATGCAAAAGCTGACCAACAAATCACTGACGCTCGCCTTCGTCTTTCAGCTAATGTGTTGGCGGACGGCTTTTATACATACAATATATTTCAGCAATAAATACATGTCTTCATGTTTACATTACAATGAAACTCAAAAGATCACATCTACCATATGACGTCTGGTGGTAAACTAGATTCAGTGAAGGGTGGAGAGGCCATAAGTCTACAACCTGGAAGCACTTCAAACTGTCCGTCTGTGAACGTTGTTGTTCCGATAGATTCCATTATTTTTTTCTTTTTTAAAAAAAAGTGCCAAAACAATTTAAAATTGACAGGAAAACGAAGAAACAACAGAACCAGACACATTATTCTATATTGCTAAGGACCATGGAGCCCAAGTATGTCTACCAGGTTGCATTCAGAAAACCTGCAGTAGAATACTTGTCATGTTTCTTTTCTATAGGAAGTTTAACAAACAAACAGTCAGTTAGCTCTGAGGAAGAGCAGGTGGCGCCATAGTCTGCAAAAAATCAGGAGAGATTGAGTAAAAGGCACGCTAAGCTGATGGTCCAAAAGAGTCACAGCAGTCTTTTCTCTTTTGGATCCGGGAGCATCAGTTAGGTGTACTCAGTTTCTCCTGATCCAAGGCTTTTGGTCCTGTTTCGTACCACAAACGTTGTGGACAAAATAGAGAAGATATAAATAGTGTTACACCTCTTTTCCTCCCATGTGCGCATGTGTGTTTGTGCAGGTGTTCAAGTATTTACATCTTCCAAAACAGAGGCAAAAATGTGGACGGTCAGAAGCTTTTTTTTTTTTTTTTTTTTAAATTCTAAAAATGTCAACCACAGAAGTTCATCCAGAATTGAAGGGGAAGAAGAATCCTGGATCCAGGAAGTAGTTTCTCAGCACACCTTCGTTGTGCGGTGGTGGCACCTGTGCTGCAGAATCCCCACAAACCAATCAAATTTGTTTTGACTGAAGATGATCAGGAACGAATCTCTGCGTCAGTGCAGCTTTGAATCCTGGTGCCATAATGTGATTACAACTGTTGTCAACTGTTGTCATGACGTCCAGGCACAAGAATAACAGCTCTGTTGGTGTAGCTGCAGACTTTACCTTTAAGCCAACGTCACAGGATATTTATAGGAGGTGGAACAAACAGCAGAGAGCAGAACAGGGAAAAATTGACATGACAAATAATTTTTTCCAGCCAAAGCTTTAGACATTGACTTATTCCTTGCCTCCTGTTATTCCAATGGAACAATAAAGAACAATTTTCTGTATTCACTATTCTTTTTTTATTTTCTTGTAAAAACCTCCCTTGTTTCATCGAGTTCATTGATGAAAAATCTGATCAATTTACACAATACTGCCGCCTACTGGAAAGCAATGTGACCGTCTTTCAAAAACATGCTGCGTATCGTTTGGCTGCCGTTGACGCAGTTGGTTGGATGTAAATTTAATTAATGTGGGCCTGCTGTTATGCCAGTGTGTCATTGTTTTTATTCCTACTGCTTCCATCAGCTTTTTCCCCTCTTGGCTTTAAAAGCCACATCTCACAGCAGTCACTGCTCGACTCCGAGCGGCTCCTGACGGATGGATGGACCAGACAGTTATGATACACTCAGGTCGTTTGGGCTCTTATTGCTTTAACTGACACATATTGCTTGTTTACCCACTGTCGTTCCTGCTTTGTGATTGAGAATGGATCTTGGAGAACCTTTCGCTAGTGCTAGTTCAGAGGATAGACGATTGGCATTTAAAATGACAATGCACCAACTCAGTGCTACAAAAAAAAACCCACACTCCACACAACATGTTCATTAAAGACTTCACAGCATTAAATGTATGGAGAGGCGTAAGAGGAGATGCTTTCAATGCACTCTCCACGTACATCCGTCTGATGCTTTTGTATTCGTGATCCACATTATGCTGAGCCCTTATGACAATAGCAGCTCCCAGGCAGCATTCCAACGACTTACTGAGAGGCCTCTTCACTTCCTAGAGTGCTGACATGGAGAAGCTTCTGCAGCATTCCAAACACGTGCTCCATTGCTAATTTATTCCGTCCCATTAAGATTTTACCTCACTGCTCGTTTTATTTGCTTATGTACATGCCCCGCTTCATAAAACTGAGATGCAAATTCGGGAAAAAATTCCGGGGATTGACATTTCTGCTTGGCTTCTACTTGATTGTATGGTCTGTTTTGGAAATTTCCTCAAAGCATCTGGTTGTTTGTGTCCTGGGCTGCTCTGGTTCTTTAATGTATATTGAATTGAAATTGTTCTTGCATGCACGGAGCCTGAGGACCACACTGTACCACGACTTATTCTTATGTTCTTTCTTTCCTTCTTTATATTCACAAAAAAAATTAAAATTCTAATTCTATCAATTTTATCAACATTGGGCTGGTAGCCATCTTTTTACCCTTCATTTGTACGTCAAAGGCATTCATTTAAATAAAATTTACTGCCGTGGATGTTCATCTTGCCCAAGACTACTGTTTCTATTGGACTGCTGTGGATGTTCATCTTGCCCAAGACTACTCTATTGGACTGCCGTGGATGTTCATCATGCCCAAGACTACTCAAATGCCTTGTTTTTCTAATGTTTTATTCTTTATTCTTTTTCCTTCTATTGGGATCATTTTCTTCATTATAAAACTACCCAACATTATTGTATATTCATTTATTCCATCCAATGTTTTGGGCTTCACTTGAAGAACTTCATCATATTTCTACATGGACGTCATCTTTATGGTTGACTTATGTCTGGTCTACGACGTTATCCTGGCCATTTGAAATTCAGGAGGCAGAGGACAAAGCCAAATAAAACAAATGGCAAAGATTTGAAACTAAAATGTTACAAAAAGAAACAAACAAACAAGCAAATTCTCTCAGAAAAAAAAAGAGTTTTGTTTAAATTGATTCTCTTTGTGGAGGTGCAGGAGTCACTGCAAGTGTTAAAGCACTTCATTAACACAGACTGAAGTAAATTGCAGTGCAGTGACACAAGGTTCCAGCCTCTCAGATTATGTTTGCTTCGCAGCAGTAAACACATCACGCCACACAGCTGTGTTCGGGAGCAGCCATGGTAGAAACAATGTCACTGCAATGCACCACTGCCTGGTCTACATGTACACACTGTGGTCTTAATCAATATGTTTCTGTTTGTGACAGAGATGAACTGATATCACCATGTAGAAAACCGTGAAGTAGATGTTGACGGATATACGGGACAACGTGGAGGATTTTCATCTTTTGGCACCAACATGCAGCAGCGCTGACATTTCTCTGACACAAAAAGTCTCGTTTGCGAAGCTCACTGTGAAGCCTGGCGACAGGGAAGTGGGGGAGCAATGGCTTCACACTGATATTTCTTGATACATGAGCTCTTTTGCCCCGTTTGTAGGCATCATGACACATGCTGGGGTGATTCAGAGGTAAACATCTGCCACAAGAGTGCTGTGGCTTGGATTAGCTGCTCATCAAACCGCTACGACAAAAACAAGACGAGGCCGTGTGTCTGTGCCTCAGTGGTTTCTGTGGCTGCCGGGAAGCCTCTATAATTGTTGACAAGTGAGTCTGTTTGTGTGTGTCTGTGTGTGTGTTTGTGTGCCCGAGTGTGTGTGTGCTGGTTGGTTTACCTGATTCTCATTTATTCCCCGGTGGCTCAGTCTACGCTGATTGGGAGTCGGAGCTTTGCTAACACCCTCTGACTCTGGTTTGGTCTGTGAAGAGGAAAATGTGTCTTGTGCAAAGGATTTGAACAATTTTTTTTTTCACCCTCTGTCTGATGTCACTGAGATGCAGGGGTAGTTGACAGGAAGAAGGGGACCGGGCTGTGCCAACACACCAAGGGGCCACTCAATTATTCAGAGGAGGTGCTGGGTTCAAAGAGTCACAGCCGGGACCTGCCAGTCCTCCACCATCACTGCTGATGCTGCTGATGCTGCTGATGCTGCTGCCCTTGTTGCTGTTGTTGTTTCAATCCAGTGGTCTTGACACTGACATCACCCACATTTTAAGGAATATGATCAACAACAATGAGGAAAATGCACCATAAAAACGTCCTGTCGTCCTATGACGGTATTTCCAGCTTGTGTCTTGCCGTGACGGCTGAGGATATAAAAAGATATCTCAACATTTTCCTTTGCAACCGGGTCTCATCCTCACGTCCTCAGTTGTCCGTCTGCTCAGCCCATGTTCAGACAGTGACTTCGGTCTTGCTGTTGGTGGGCAGGCCCTTGTGCTTGGGCAGCGTGCGTGGAGAGTGGCCGTAGCCCAGCGGCTGTGAGAAGAGCTCCGGCAGCGTCTCGATGCTGAACTGCCTTCTGTTGGAGTAGAGCGGGCGTCGGGTGTTCTGCTGATGCAGCGTCTGCTGGTGCAGCGTCTGCTGGTGCAGCGTCTGATGATGCAGCGTCTGATGATGCTGTGGCTGAATAGGGTGATGCTGGTGCGCCTTGATGCTGCGGCTGAATAGGGTGATGCTGGTGCGCCTGCAGGGTCATGTGGGAGGCCATTGGGTGCAAGACGTGGCTCTTACTGGGGTCCCACACTTTGAACGCCGAGCTGGACGTGAGCGGGTGGGTGTTGGTCTTGGAAATTTTCGGCTTGGGGATTTGGGGTGTGTTGACAGTGATGGCCAACGGTGCGTGGATGTCTGGCGGTGGGAGGAAAGGCTTGTCCTTAGGATGGAAGTTGATTGGATGGAAAGAGGGCGGGGACTGGCGGTGTGTGTAATCCATCAATGGGTAGCTTTTGCAGAAGTCCCGTGTGGAAGTGTCTGTATGGGGAAAGAGACGGGACAATTAAGACAGACATTGGAATTTTAGTGATAACAGGTTCTGACCAATCAGCACCAAGGGAAATATACATACATTAGACAATGACACTTAATGAACAAGAGCGCACAGAAAGTCTTAAAGTATATTTCATGGCAAACAAAGGAGTGTCCTACTTATTGCCCCCCACTGCACCATTTCATGGCAAACAAAGGCGTGTCCTACTTATTGCCCCCCACTGCACAAGAACAGCCTGTAACTATTACTGCACCCTAAAAAATAAGTGGCGCCGAGCGGCGCTGTTTATCAATAAATGATGTTTGAGGTTGTTGCAGTCCATAAGTTTTAACGCCTCATCAGAGATAACTGGTAAACTCCGTGGCCAACCGTAGTAGGGGATGCTCAACATTTCCCCAGTCAATTTACAGTCTCTGGAAAACCACACAAATGATGTCATAAAGCGTCATACATAATCGTCGTTTACATAATCTTAATAGCGATGTCACACTATTTCCAAAACAAAATGGCGTGGGATTAAGGCCCGTTTAAAATAAAATCATAGCGGAACGTTAACATTAATCGAGAGGCGTTGATGTGCGTTCGCTCCCCACTTTCTGCTGAAACAGCTTCCACCTAGAAAGTTCCGGGTGGGAGGCAATTTGCAAGGTTTAGTGTCGGTGAGTTTTTGACAAAGTAATGATGGTGAACTCAGTTTCTACCAAATGACAGCGTCCCTTACAATCACCCTAAAAATACACGACAGGATGGAGGCCAGGGCTCCACCTCGGCCGTTCAGGTTCTTCCAGGACTAACCCATCCGATTCAGATGCAGTTACAGACTTGCAGGAAGAATCACGCTGGTGTATACCAAACTGCTCCCTCAAGGATGATTGGACAGAACGTTCCAGAATGTTTCATGCATCTTTCACACTAAAGTAGCCTGTAGACCTGGAATTTTTTTTCTGTCATATTAGAGAAAACCAGATGGAAAAAGGCAATTAACACCATTAGCACTGCCAGATCAGGCTTTACCCGGCGGCTTTGTTTTTTATTTATTTTTTTACACTTTACACTCCTGAAACCTCCTGATATCTTCATTTTCCATGACAGATATTTTGTTTGTAGATGTTGTCTTTGTTTTGTGGGATGATCTATGAGAACGGTGGAGAATATCTTGAGGTTCTCAAAGTGTGGTGCGAGGCAAGACAGTGACAAAATTCCATCATGTAACGTCATATATTGGTGAGATTGGAATTTTTTCAGTGTTGGAAAAATGTAAGTATTTGAAATTGTGCAAATGTTGGGTTTGCAGAAAAAAAAAAAGGGAACCAGCGCCCTACAGGTACAGAGAGGTAACGTATAAAATAAAAATCAGTTTGAACACTAGACATATAGGAAGGAAAGGCAGAGCACGTCCTGTCAGATTAGCCTCAGCTGTCGGACTTGACCCTGTGTTTATGTTCGGCCTGGAGACACTGACAACCTTGTTGTTGGACTGCTTTCCTTTTTTTTTTCTTTTTTTTTTCCCTGTAGTGAAATTAGAGCCAAGCTGTTTGTTTCCTTTTTTGTTGTTCCTCCACATCACTGCCATTAGATTTCCTTTTTGACATGATATTTATTTAAAGACAACAGGACGCAGCTGCCATCTGGCTCTCAGGTTTTATTTCCAGGGCAGAATGACAGACTGAGTGGCTCCATATCTGATCTTATTATTATTGCACTCCAAACAAGAACACCTGAGGGTTATCTGTCAATAGTCTGCTGTGATGATGGATGACCACTAGGGTGTAATCTATTGTTATCAATGCCAATTAATGTGGCTTTTACAAATGTGTGTGTGTGTGTGATTTCTGAGGTTGTAAACTGCCTTTTTATTGAGATGCTTGAGAACTTTCATGATTAATGTGAGTGTCAGTGTGTCTGAGAAGAAGGACGACCCGACCTGAGGGCTGTAACCATCGGCAGAGTTTGGAGAAGGTGATTGGCTGTGTGCATAGTGATGTCCAAGTGTCACATGATGTGTTGTGATTGGACTGTAGCAATTGTTTTTTTTTTGACGTGGCAGTTTTATTGTCTAAAATATACCATTAAAGAAACATTAGTGTGGGGAACTGTTGAGTAAAATACGTCACAGTTCAGCCACAAAGAATAAATGACTAAATCTCTCCTCACATTTTCCACCATTATTGTCCGTTTGTGTCCTTCCAGCCCTGGTGCCAGCAGCTGCACCTGACAGCACAGTCCTCTGAGACAGGATTATGGTTTTTATTCAGATAAACTCCATCTGTTTTGTTCTCTTTCAAGTCATTTTCCCACTATTTTCTTCTGTGGATACCGTATTTTATTTTATTTTTTACAATACTTTATCAACCTTAGCTTCCACTCCTGGGGTAAACCTGCGCCTCCTGTAGATAATCTGTTCCAGTTTAATGCTTTGACAGCACACGTTAATGTATCTGCTCTGTTTTGCCCACATTTTAGCAGCTGTATTAACTGCATTTCTTTAAACAGATTTTTTTTTACCTGCAATTTGGCCACATTTTAGCAGCTGCATTTCTTTAAACAGATTTTTTTTTTGTCGCGATGTCAATATGACTTCCATGAACCTAGTCTGGAATATTATATTGGATCCTAAAGAGAACTCTGTTCTCATTTTTAACTAAATACTTTACTACTACTAACACTTACTGAACATGTGCAGTGGCTCCGTAATAACACGCCACATGTGACCTAACAAAGCTTGTTTGCCTTTGTGGCTCCTTAGTTCCATGACTCAGTGTTGTGTGCACTTGTTCGTCACATCAGCGCAGCAATATTTCTTACATTTGATAAAATATTTAAACCCCCGATGGTATGTTGGCATCTGATCTAAATATTTCACATCATCATCTGCATCGCTTGCTGCATAATTAGATGTTATTCAAACCGGTGCGGCGTTCACAGATCGTCTACGGGAATTTTAATTATTTTTTTCAAAAACATCATGGAAGTGAATGGAACCAATTCTCTGTTTATTCCATGAAGAATGTTCCCCTGGAAAATGACCTGTAGCAAATCAATCAGCCCTTCGCAAGTAAAGACACAAACTCAGAAATGAATACATTTCCATCTTGTTACAGTGGAGAAAAACCAGAGAGCCATGATGCAACGCTTTCCTTTCTTTCACCCTCACATGCTCTGTACTCATCACCGCCTGCAGGAACCGAACTGAAGTGTAATACATTAAAAACCCTTTAAACCCGCACGGTTGGAGGAGCGCTAACATCTTCAAAGCCATTACTCTAACTCTTGTAGTTTTGAAAGCTTCCCCAAGTTTTTTTTTTTTTATCTTTTAGAGTCTTTTTCTGGATCAGATCTGACTTAACTTTAAAGTGGAAAATGTTTTTTTAAACATTTTTTTATCAACATATTGTCTCCTATGATTTTTTATGAAAATATTGTTACTATATGTGTGTGTAGTATAGGTTCACAACTATGTGCAGTTGTGGTTGTATGTTGAAATCGGCCCAAATTTTGATTTGCCAACAACGCCAGTCCACTTTTATTTTTATTTATTTTTTATTTAAAACCCACTCCAGCTGCCTGGCCCTGGTTCCTGCTGCTACATCTGGCACGTTGTTGAATTTTTTAATCCTGTCAGTTTGCTTTCCCTGTTCCCTTCCCACCTTTCTTAGAAACTGTACAACTTCCTGTCTTTTGATTTTTACCTTTTTTTTTTTTTTTTGTTCATTGATTCACCGTGTGCCACATTTCACAGCAGCCTGGTCCAACTACCTGCAGTTTCATCCAGACCTTGGTCAGCAGCATCATCCAAGTACCTCGCGTGTCCTAGCCATGACTTTGTTTACACCGTCACAGCCTCTGGACCTGGTGGCGGTTTGTTTACGCCCAGGCAGGAGAACTGATAACCATGTGTGAAATGATGACTAAATTATGAGCACAATCATACGCTTCCGTGTGTGGTAGGTGGCCACAGACACAGAGTGAAGGTGACACTGTAGTGGAGATACAGTGGGGAACCCTGATGTGGGGGGGTGGAGGGGTGGGGTTGATTTCTTCCACCGTGAAGGTGCAAAAGGGGGTTTGATTTCTTCCACCGTGAAGGTGCAAAACATCAACGGCAGAAAGTCAAATCAGTAATACCAGTGTATGATTAGAATGTCATAATCCACAGATTAGAGACTGTTCAGATTACAAATAATGTGAGGAAAAATAATGTCCATTATTTACAACACCAGTGGAGGTTCTAGGTCATTTGAAAAAAGGACGTGTTTATCAGACCTGGAGATGATCTCGGTTCATTTTCCTGCACTGATTCAGTGTCAGTGGTTTAATGATGATCGACCTCCTCTTCATTTACATAAGTTATTAATGAGCAACACATGTGCACGTGTCGAGCTGTAGTTTCCGATCATCATCACCGTGTCGTCGTCTGTCAGCGGTTTAATGATGGATTGTGTCCAACGACAACCGTTACAGAACAGAAGTGTCGAGTGCCATTTATGTTGTCAAAAAGTTTAGTTTTTAGTAGTTTGTTTAGGTGTTAACTCCAGAGGGTCGAGGACCTGTCTGAGCCGTGTTTGCGACGTAATTTATTTATTTATTTAAAAAAATAAAGGCTACGTTTGAAACCCAGCACTCACATTGTTGGGCCGTTGGTTTTTGCAGCTGCTCTTTGTCCATTTAAAACGGGGGAACGTGTACGCACAGTGACAGTCCTCCGTGAGGGGAATCATTTGGTGATTTTAAACGTGTTTACGTCACACGGCCGCTCTTGTGTGGATGCACTGACATTGCATATAAAAAACAAACAAGTGGCAGCGATACAGTGTGTTCCAACATCTCAGTTCTGGCTTGTTTTTACTGTGCAGTATTTGACCCCTGTACAAGAAAATGTGTGTTCTCTCCATCCATCTTGTTATGGCCTTTGTCAGTGTGTGTGTTTGTGTGTGTGTATGCGAGTAGTGACTCACCCACAGGCTTGAGCGAAGTGTACTTGTTGAATCCGATCCCTAGGTTGTTATGAGGGTGAGACAGAGCCATGGCAGGGCCCAGGGGAGACAGGGCTGCATTGTTCAAATGGTTGTGATCTGTGGGAGACGGAGACAAATGGACAGAGAGAGAAGACGTCATGTTTCAGTGATTGTTTTTTTTTTTTAAACTTTACATACATACAATTATTACTGCAAAAATGTTGAAATATGTAAGTAGATATATTTGTTAGGTTGTTACACGGTTGACAAACACTGCTCTTGTCCACAGCCCTGAGGTCACCCACGTGAACAGCAGAATTCAAAGGTCACGGGCGGTGTGTTAACACAAAGGCTCCTCGTGTTAGCGTGTGTGAAGCAGCTGTGGAGTTGTTGTTGTTGTTGTTGTTGTTGTTGTGATTTGTAGGTTAATTTTATCACTTTGCCCAAGGCTCTGTGTTCATCACACGTGTTTGGTGTTATTAGACCAAACATGGAAGTGGTCTGGGTCTGAGGTTGGTTTTTGCCTCCTTACAGCTGTAGAGTCAGTGTAGTCCAATACAAATATGTTTTTAACTAAATCAGTTTGAGAAAGTCTAAAGTGTTTTTAACAGACCCGAGAAACTTCAGTTGGCTACTTCACATCTTCTGAATCAAATTCAAATGAAACGGAATATTAATCGGTGGTAACACACATACACGCATACACACACATTTCTGCACAAACACAAACATTTAAACATGACAGCGACACCCACTGGAATTTTAATCGGTGGTAACACATACACACACATTTCTGCGCAAACAGGAACATTTAAACATGACAGCGACACCCACATTCAAGAAATTCACTTTGACAGAGAGACGTCAGCAAGAATCAAAGGATGGGGAAAAATATTAGAGTACCAGAGAGCTGGAGATGAAGTGAGGGAGGAAGAGAGGGAGGCAGGGAGGGAGAGAGGGATGGAGGGAGGGATGTGACACCAGCTATGAGTGATTGAATTAGAAATAGATCTTCATCCAGCGTGTAATTGATATGCACTGGTGACACGCTATAAGTGCTGCAGAGTGCAGGGGAGCACACGAGTGTGTGTGTGTGTGTGTGGTAATTTGATGTGTGTGTGCGTAGGTATAAATGTTTATGGCCTGACGTCAGATCTTACCACCGGCTCCGCCCACATCAGACGTAGGAGTTAAAGGTAAAAAAAAGTGCTTTTAATTAAAACGGAACACAAAACGAAAAAATTATGAAATCTCACTCTGTGGCAGAAATGATTATTTATATATATATTTATAAACACTGTTGAATGTATTTGGTTGTTATTTATAAAAATAGATTGAATTTTTATTTTTCTCTCAGTGCGGTCAATATTGAACATGAATACCAGCTTAATAACCTGAAATCGTCAATTGTACGTGTAAAAAAAAATTAATAAATAAACTCAAAAATCTGGTCACCTGTTTTGTTTGTGATTCAGATATTTTTCCAATTTTGGACGAGTTGCAACTATTCACATAACGACCGTGCAAGTGAAAGAGTGCAATGGAAAAAAAATGATTCCCTGTGTTCTGTATTCATGAATAAATTCCCCCCTGAGTGTCCTATTTTTTCGGTGTGTGTGTGTGTTTGTGGTGCACATTTGTGCCTGCATGCATTTGTGTTTTGTAGGAATTTATAAGAATTGGCCAAGGGAATGAGTTGTTTGGATGTGTGTGTGTGTGTGTGTGTAAAGCCAAACGGTGACAAAAGAAAGCGGTCACTTTTGTGTGTGTGTGTGTGTGTGTTTACAGCTGCTGAATATGAAGAGGCAGGTTGTAATTTTGCATGCATATGCATGATGGTGTGTGCAGTTGCATACATTCTGTATCAGTTTCTCTCTCTCTCTCTCTGTGTGTGTGTGTGTGTGTGTGTGTAAGCGTCTATGCACTGCTGGGTAATGGCCTAATTCAGCAGGGCTCAACATCAAAGAGGCTGACTGCTGCAAGGGCTCCAGCCCGTCTTTCTCTGACATAACTACTGCCACACACAGAGTGGGGGAGGCGAATAAAAAAGGGAATAAGGCAGCATGGGTGAGGCAGCGTGGGTGAGGCAGCATGGGTGAGGCAGCGTGGGTGAGGCAGTGTGGGTGAGGCAGTGTGGGTGAGGCAGTGTGGGTGAGGCAGTGTGGGTGAGGCAGTGTGGGTGAGGCAGTGTGGGTGAGGCAGCGTGGGTGAGGCAGCGTGGGCCGCGGGGCTCAGAAACCCAGACCTGTGTTGTTTAATGCATGGAGCATCAAACAGCTGAAACCTGAGTAATAACTCCTGACTCTCTGTCTCTGTCTCGCTCTGCTGGGTTAGACTGGACGAGGACTGGACGAGGACTGGACGAGGACTGGACGAGTGCTCTGTAGGTCGCGGTGTGTGATGTGTGAGTGTAGCAGCGGAGGTGAGGAGTGAAAGGACCAGGATATCTCTCCACTAATGAAATATACATGTTACCAAAGTCATGCAGCAGCTGTTAATACGACCGGCCTGCATGCAGATGAAACTATTGGAGCAGAAGCTGCAAAATCACACACTCTCACACAGAACAAGGCTCGAGAGTTTTCTCCACGTTAATGGACAGAACCTCAGCCGAACAGTTAACAGTTTCTATAATTCTTACAATCTACACAACACAGAAAACACACCAAGATCTTCATTAGTATAAAGTATTTCATCAGTTTGTGGTGGTATCAGTTGCCGTCATACTTACCTGCTGAATAGGATAAAAATGATTTGGTTTTCTGTCGTTTCTTTGTTTTTTTCTGATTAGTATAATGTCGTGTGACTGCTATACCGTCCTCGTGTGAGAGCTTCCAGTGTGGGGCATGTGTTTGACATATGGGCCTCCTTCATTAATTTCCAGCTCCATGTGGTACAGGAGAAAAACCGACACGCCAACATTTGTGTGAAGTGTTGTGGCGTACGACCGACTTCTGCCGCCTCTAAATCACGCAAAGCAACAACAATTCAAAGCACGAGCAGATGCTCGTTCGCTGACTCTCACATCCACTCCTGCTGCTTTTTCTTCTGTCGGTTTTTACGTCAACCTTTACATCTCTCTCTCTCTCTCTTCACTCTGATTTTCCTAGTCCTCCTCTTCCTCACTCAGTTGCGTTCATTCGCTCTCTTCCTATTGTTGTTCTCTGTCACAGCAACTGTACGGCAGACCATCTGTTGTTGTTGTAGACTCACTCACTGCTCTTTACATTTTGCAAATTCCATTTTATAAGTTCATGATAACGAGGAGACACAGGATGATAAGAAAATGGGGAGCTATGGAGGTTCTAGCCTGCCACACAGAAGGTTCCGGGTTCTAATCCCAGGCTGTGGCCGGGCAGCGACCGCAACCAGCAAGGGCAACATCTAAACCTCCATGTTCTGCCACAGTCTGACCAAAGAATGGAAAGGTTTCCAGTTCCTGGTATTCCCAGGAGGTCTCCCCTCAGATCAGAGGTTTATCACCGTCTCTATGAAGTCCTTCATTGATATTTAAACACTTAATTGAGCTGCAGTTAAAATTCATCAACTGTGTTTGCCTTGTGTGAGCTTTTAGTCGCTGCGTGCCAGAAAAAAACTAATCTCAACCGCTTCAATCTTTTTCCAATTTTAAAATCTGTGTTTAAACCAACAGAAAAATGTCACAGTAGCAGTGCAGTTTGGACGATGTTCAAACAGAGACGGAAAAGGTTCATTTTTGAAGGCGGTGACGGGCACGTGTAATCACTGCTCTGCTGAAATTCTTTTACCGGAATTGAGTAAATGATAATGAAGTGCAGTTGTGATCTGTAATAACGACGGTCTTTTAATGAGGTGAAATGTTTAAATTACGACATCAAACACCTACGGCTCCCCCTGGTGTTTGATGCTAACGGGCTCTGATGAAATCAGGGGAAAACGCCACATCCAGACTCATCTGCTCAATTTCTGATTCTCTCTAATGCTGTTTATATCCGTCTGATCTCAGCCTGACTTGTTTGTGTGTTCAGCAGAGTCATTCCAGGGCACTAAAGTGGACATTACTTACCCCCCGCTCCTTCCCTCTCTCCCTCCTTCCTGCCCCTGGTTTCCTCTTGCCCTCCTCTCTCCCTCTTGTACAGTATATTTGTAGGCTAAATGGCGACTTATCCTGAAATGACACCATTAATTTTTGCCTGTAGCTCCTACAGTGAACTCTTCTGTGGCTTCCCAGCACTTTACTTAATTCAGTGTGAACACACACACACACACACACACACACACACTCTCTTCCTCTCTCCGTCTCTCTCTCTCTCTTTCTCTTTCCTCGTTAGCTGAATGTACCCATTTGTGCAGGAAATGGCCAAAAATGTCAATCAAATTGTCCACAAATCTTTAAGCTAATGAATTCCTCCAACGTTTAAATTCCCCCTCAGGGCTTTGAGAATTAAGAACCCTTCATGGAAATCCACGGAAACAATAATTTAAATTAAGGTGAGAAAAAGTGCTATAGAATCAGATGGCAGGCATTTTTATTGCTTTTTTTTTTTTTTTGTCTGTACAAATGAATTGACTGGTTTTCAGCACCACGGACAGAGGCGTTCAGACTCAGACGAGCGCAAGAATGTCTCTCTTTAGTTCTTACCTAGTTTCTTTCCTGATTAAAAGGCTAATAATCTTACGAGGAATAATTAATTTATCTATATATAATGTGCTTAGTTGAGCTGAGTTATTTTATGTTACTCTTTCTGGTGGTACTTGGTGAGGACAAATACTTTGGAGTTCTGACACTGTGTAAAAAATGAAGGAATCAGTGACTCAGTATATATATCCAGTTAATGTACTGTATATCGGAGTCTAACGGGGCTTGTCGCCTTGCTCATCGCACCAGCCCCCCCCCCCCCCTCCTCCCCCGAGGGTTTGATACTGAAGGCACAGCAGCATGGCACCAAATGTCTTGTATCATCTCTCCAAATGATCCTTATGTCGTGATGACGCAGACAGAAATTCAATAAAATTGTCTTGGAAACATTATTCAAATGGACAAAAAGACCAAGTAGCTACCGGGGGTATCGACGTACAATTACAGCGCCTGTACAACACCAGGTCCCTGGAAACGTCGTGTAACCGATCCCCACATG